TCCAAATAACCAATTTCACATACCATCAATGCTACGGAAGTCCAGTAGATAAGTCCTGCTATCCACCTGGTATAATTGCAGGCTCATTTTGGAATATGTGCCTGTTACTGAATTCTTTCTCCGAACACGCAAGTAGTATGGATTTACAACCTAGGAAACAAAGTAGAAACTTAGCAGAAAACATGAAAAGAATCATTACATTGATTGTCAGTATCTCTATTTGAAATCACCATTTGTGCGGAGACAATTTAAGCAATCTCACCTTCCATTCATAACCCAACTGCTTGATTGCCCGACAAACTTCAGCCATTATGTCATTTGGCCGACTCTGACTCCGTATTCCTAAATGCCATTTAGCTCTTCTGACCCCCTGATGTTTGGACTTTTGTGGATTTAGCTCATCAAGTGTGTGGCGTGACCGTGGTACTTCAGCAACTAAAAATGGCACTCTTTCAGGGTGAGGTCGGGAAAAATGGTCATCAAGAAAGGAATCTGGTGGGCTTGTAGCTAAGTAGAAGTCTTTTGCTTCATTCATTATTCTTCTGTTATCTATAATGAGGTGATAGGCAACTGCTAAAGGATCCTGATGATTGCGATTATACAAGCAGCTTAGCACTTCCTCCTCTGTACATTCAAACTTATCACAGACTTCTTTTAAGGCTTCATCATCAATCATAGTTGAACTGTAAGAAGGATCTTCAGGAAAGAGGTACTTGGGGAGGTCTTGCTTAAACCATTCGTGTTCCCTAGAGGCAAAGCAAGAACCATTTTAAAAGCTAGCTGTTCAACCATTTTGCCACATTTTATTGACAAAACATGCAAACTACACAGAAAAAAATATGCTAAAATAGGTAAAAACATTTCCTCTTCCAATCTATATATGGATTTCATTGAACTTGAAAATAAAGTCCAGTTAGATGCTGTGACTGTAATAATAACCACCAGATTCAAACATAAAGAAGAGACTGGACAGCCATTTGTCCGAAATGGTATAGGGTTTCCTGCCTGAGCAGGGGGTTGGATTAGATGACCTCCAAAATCCCTTCCAACTTTATTATTATTATTATAATCTTTTAAGCAATTTTTCCTCTTTTTTAATAAATCTGAAGATCTTACTGATACGAAATAAGTCATCCTTATAATTAAAACAGGCAGCTGGAATAAGTTACAGTACTGCACTTACAATGAAATGTTAATTTTTTCTTTAACCTCTATGGTGTGAATATTCCATATGAATGTTATTTGTAAAAATATTCAGAGCATAATTAAACACAATATAAAAATTAAGTTTTAAAAATCAGCATAGGAGTTTAAAATATTAATAGAAGGTTTTTTTAAGAAACAGATTTTCTGCAAGTACTGCTTTTAAAGTAAAATTTCACAAAGGTATCAACAAATCAAATGAAATTGCGAATGCAATATAAAATAACAATATGCTTTTTATATTGGTACATTAAGTACCTTTTAAAAACAATTCATAAATTTGGAATGTGTTTGTTTTTATTGAGTTCGGCTATCCCCAAAACACCGAGGTTATAAACCAAAAAGATCTGATTAGGAATAATGAGAATTGTAGAGTAACTGCATCAGGGGAGAGAAAACCAGTTTGTTCAGGGGCAAGGAAAGTCTTCCGGGTTGGGGCCTGGAATGAGTTTCCTGACTTGCTAGTTGGCTGGAAAAGGCCTTCTAGTAGGGTGGTGTCATCACTGTAAAAAATAGGATGAAAAATCTTCACTCATTTTTTTTGAAATGGAGGGAGAGTTAAAATTTGGAACTGGACTGCTTTGTCTCCCGGAAATCTCAAATGCCTATTTGCACTTAAACTGCTTCTCCAGAAACCCCCAAAACTGAGTGGAAATTAGGGTGCCAAATTTTCAAGCATTTGTGGGGGCCTTGGTGCTCTCTGAGCTTGGTTGTTTTCATTAACAAATTAGGTAACATCAGTGTACCAAAGACCTGTAGTTCAGACATGTCAAACTCACGACGTGACGTCGCGCAACGTATCGGCACTGTTTTGCTATTGCTGGCAATGGGGTGGGCGCGGCTTCCGAGTGACGCATCCGGCCCATGGGCCGGCAGTTTAACATCCCTGCTGTAGTTAGTTCAACCCTGAGTTACAAATACTCTCTTCTTTCAATTTCAAACATTTTTTACCACAAAATGTTGGCCATGTGATTCTATGATCTTCTAGGGGCTACAAGTTTGATGACACATAGTTTGAGCAATGACTATTCCTGTGTTAGGGGAATTCTATAACACAACATTAGTTTATTTTCTTTCTTTCTTTCTTTCTTTCTTTCTTTCTTTCTTTCTTTCTTTCTTTCTTTCTTTCTTTCTTTCTTATGCCTTATATTCCCTATAAAGTGACTCTGGGCAGCTAGTTCAGATCTTGGCTTAATTTTATATATCATAATTTAAATGAAGACAAATTTAGTTCAATCCATATGCAAAGATAATGTGCACTTAATTCAAATAAATAAATAGATGCTTTCTATTGCAGATCTAATCTTTAGGTAACCTAAAACAAACATGACTTTAGAGTGTATTGGACTCAATTTTTGATCCAACTCCCTTTTGATTCAACTCAGCCTAATCACAAAATGGCTTAATATGATACAACAACCAAGCCAATGTGAAGCCAACAATTGAATAAAACTTGCACACCGTTTTAGAATGATAACTGTATCCGTGACAAAACCAGATGCTGTAAGGTACCTTATGTCTTTCACTGTAGCTCTCTTCATAGGATCCACCTGTAGCATGTGTTTCAAGAGACTAATTACTGCTGAATTTAAGTACTGAGGCGTATAAAAGATACCATCACATATCTTCTTAAAAAGTGTTGGCACATGATCATCATCAAAGGGAAGAGTTCCACATAATAAAGCATAGAGAATAACACCACTGCTCCAGATATCTACTTCTGGCCCTGCGTATAACCTGTAAAATGGATATCATATTTTTTTTCCAAGTAAAAAATACAACATAAGCTACTGTTACACTGGATAATTAGCCTTTTAGCAATGTTTGTGAAAGACTACATAAGCACTGATATTCATGCAGTTAACTCCTGATTTTTAACATAAAATAACAAAACTGGAAAAGTGAGCTAAGTTCTATAGTCAGAAATATAATGGGCTGATATAAGTCCAACATTGTCTACTGATTTATACATTGGTAACATGACACAGCTTCTCCCCTTCTCTGAGCAGCTTCCTTTCTAATTATGCTTAATCTAGGATTAGTCATTGTGTCTAAAGCAACAGAACCACGCCCTTACGTTTCAGAAAGTAGTTAAATGCAAGTTTTGATTACTTTAGCCCTCATTAGCATTATGTAGTGACTAATTTAAGGTAAGAGGAATAGGAAATTTAAGGTAAAGACAAGATGGAATCATTTCCCTCACATGGAGATGATGCCATACAAAACACCATGCCCACTCCTGATTTTATTAGCTGCAGTTGATTTTATTAGCTGCAGTTAAAGCGTAGATCATATTACACTGAGGAACTGTTGTGAGCTTAAAAACAAAATATGCTCAGGAGCTCCTTGAATGAAGAGTGTAGTTCAAATGCAATTTATACTCAGCAATATAACATACAACCACAGAATTGTATTATGTATAAAATAATCTGGGAGCCTTGAAAACATTTTCAAAGTATCGATAGTCTTTTATCAAATTGCCAAATTAAAATGACAGAAAGAAAACCTTGTAATCTGGAAAATGTGTTTCTGACAATATATATCATGCTATAATTATTCTGAGCCAAAAGGGAAACCAGTCTTGGGACCTTGTATTTTTTGCAACTTCAAACAAAAGAAATGAGTTTTTTGTCTTCTTCTAGGGTCAGGAATTTGTATGTTAAAACATTTAAAATTAATATCAGCAAAAACGTATTTTTGAACTTAGACAAGTCAGAAATTTGTTTGCACATAATGGTCCAACACAGAAGTGCCTTCTTCTACTTCCTAAGACCCTTTCAAAGATACTTGGCACATTGTGATTTTCCATGAGAGAAAGGCAATATATACAATTATATTAAACATATTAATCATATTAAAACTTATTAACTGTATTCCAATTTTATTATTAAAGTTTAAGTATAATTAAACAAAAAGAGAGTCTGAAGCAGATTCTTGCCCACCATTCAAAAGTTGCCCTTAGCCCATAAAATCCTGGGCATCGGTGATTTAACATATAATGTGCACGTCACAGCAACCCTTGACTTCTAGGCTCCTCCTCGCTGCCTGAATGAGTTTGGAAGCTTTTAATTTGAATTTTTTTATAGTTGTCATATTGTCCAGAGTAAAAATCATTCTTAAGAATTATAGTTAATAAATGCCTAAACAACCCAAATTAAAATACTATAATCTGGCTTGTTTGACACACAAGGTCAAGCTAAAATTAAAATTCCAGAAGTCCTTCTGGTGTGCAGGAGGACAATAAACATTTGCCGTATGTTATGTTAAGTCGTGGTTTGATGTGACGTGTGATCACAACAATCACAGTCTTGTGCACAGAAACACTTAAGATGAAATCAAAAGAAACCATCAAAGCCAGGAATTTCAAATTTCCAAACCTGGAAGTTTCTCAATCTACCTTGCAGCTTTAACACTGAAGAGCAGGGCTTTGATTTTGAGCATACATATATACATTTATCCAAGAAGAGAAACTACCTTCCTGAAATTACTTCGGGAGCAGCGTAGTTAGGAGAACCACAGCTCGTTCTTAAAAATTCTCCATCTGACATCATATTTGAGAGACCTGAAAATGCACAAGAGTTCAAATGAAGACCCACAAAAAAGATTAACAGATATTTAAACTTCTCAGGGAGAAGAGATCATATCGTATTCGATGACAGCATCACAGGCAGGAATAAAATCAGAATCATGTGTGTAATATTTTTTTAAAAAATGGTTCTCTAAATAGAAATGAATACTGCAAAACCTCTATAAAAATGTGACAAGAGTTATGAAAGAGACAAAATGCCCTCAAAGGATCAAGTTTTATTCTAAGTAGCTAATATGCAAATGCCAGGTGAGAAAACACGCGAAGAAAATTGCATTACTTTTTTTAAAAAAAAATAATCATATTTGTTTTATCAACTTTATTGACAGCTCAAAAGTTTTCTTCAAATCAAATATGACTCCTGGGGAACTTGTGATTATACTGATATAATTTTCTTGGCAACAATAAGGAAATTGTTCAATTATGTCCTTCTAGAATGTTTGTTCAGCTTACAGACCTGTAGTTTCCTGGAAGTGTGTCATCTAAGTATAAACCAGGCCAAATTCTGCTTAGATTCTCAAGATCAATAAAGATTTGCTAGATGCCGCTCGCAGACAGTACTTAAATAAGATAAACTAACGAACGATTTAAACCTTACAACAGGAAATTGTGCTTAGTGGAACTTTCATAATTCAAGAGTTAAATATAGCCACCTAGAATCATGCAGTTGAGATAAGAGTGTGTGTGTGTGTGTGTGTGTGTGTGTGTGTGTGTGTGTGAGAGAGAGAGAGAGAGAGAGAGAGAGAGAGAGAGAGAGAGAGAGAGAGAGAGAGAGAGAGAGAGAGAGAGATGCTAGGTGACTGATGGTACTCGAACACTGCCATATCCTAAAAGTGGTACAATCTGTGAAAAGCCCTGCTCTAATGTATCTTTCCAGGTTGCTCAATTTTGTTCTACCTTTATGCCACCTGTCCCATCTACCACTGAAGATTAGTGCAAATGTTACGTTTATCAATATTACTTTTAATATATGGTATGTAATTTTATTCTATTTTATATCTTTTTAGTTTTATTAATAATTATAGGCTAATGGGTTATTTATTACAGTGTTCTCTGGCCTAAAGGCTATAAATAAAGGAGGTAGATTTTTAGTTGGTTTGGAATCAGAAGCAATACGCTCCCTAGTGAATCATTCTTAACTCTGTTCTACTGGCCTCCCCAAATCTCCTTAAGATTTGGGTGCTGACAGCAAAGGGAAGAATGCTCCCCCCTTAAATAAAAGTATCAATGGAGGAAAAATCTCTATATGTACGAGTTAACAGAGTTAAGAAGAGATTATTCACCAGCTCATAAAATAACTCTAAATCCATCTGTCTTTCTTTGCTTGTTTGTGACGTGAGGATGTGCATGCTCCTTTCTGATCTGAACATATGCCCCAGGTGCTATTCTGTCACTAAGTCTCCTTTGGCCCCGAATCAGTAGCTTAGTTAGAAAATAGAGGACGGGAAATAGTGTTACATTCTCCATCATCAAAAAAAAAAAATATCATGTAACATGTAGCATGTAACTCTACCAAACCAAGTAAAATATTATTGTTAAAACCAACTAAGATAGACATAGCTACTACATATGCAATACAAAATCCAGCCACCCATTAGATGGCAATGAAGAAAAGTAGACAAATCCTTGATGCTATCTATTGCCATTCAAGTAGCAATAGGTATTTGAATCTTAACACTCGACAAACAAGCAAATTATAAAGATACGCTTTAAACAGAACCTACCAAAATCAGCAATCTTGGCATTCATGTGTGCATCAAGTAGTACATTTTCAGGCTTCAAATCTCTATGGACCACCATGTGCCTATGACAATAATCCACACCAGAAAGAATTTGCTGGAACAGACGTCTGCTCTCTTTTTCATCAAGCTAATTATTTGAGGAGGGAAATGTGACAAAAAAAAGAGAGTACATTTAAAAAAACAACAAACCCACACATACACCACAAACCGTCTCAGCATTAGTAGCAAAGGAGAATATTTTGCAGCATCACCAGAATCCCCAATGGGACTTTTAAAAGAACGTGTATGTGGAAGAAAAGGGTAAGAAAAAGAATAAGTAAAATTAGGTGAGAGAAGAAGAAGGGAAAAGGGTTTCTGAGTTTAGGAGTGTTCACAAGATGAGTAAAAACAGTCAAGATGACAGCCACAGCTATGATTGAAGCACTTTCCCTCTTTAAGCCCTGCTCATATGACACATCTAAAAATGGGAGGGGCTTCTACCACATAGTTGTAGCCACAGTCCTGAAATTGTTTTGGTTTTTTTTACCATTACTCTGTGTATGACTATCTGAGTTAAAAACTGATACTCCATCAACAAAGTTTACAGGACTGGAGGGTGGTGGGATTAATAAATCACAATCAAGAAAATATATGACACTCACTTTGTTGAAAAGGAGTTATGTAAACTGGTTTAAAAATCAACATTAAAACTTAATTGAGTAGAAACTGTAATGTTACATAATATGGGGACATATTTTCTGATTAAAAATTAATGCAATGTTACAATAGTAGAAATATTAATCATTCTATTAATAACAGTGAAGAAATCCAGCCATTCTTCTTCCATTCGGGAATCTCACTGTGTGAGAATTTGCCCCACCTCCACCCCCAAATCCCAAAGGTTTTTTTTTCTAACCGTAGCTAATCCATTAACAACCGTGTTACTAATTTAACAGCAGTGATTCACTTAATGACTGTGGCAAGAAAAGTCGTAAAATAGGGTAAACATTCACTTAAATATCTCACTTAGCAACATACATTTGGGGCTCAATTGTGGTTGTAAATCGAGGACTACCTGTATTTTGCTGTAAAGTAAAATTGAAAATTGAACAACAAATGCCAAAAAATATGTTACATGGATTACTGCTAAGGTGTAAATGGTTAATGATCAGAACTACTGATTGGAATACTTTCCAGAGACATTAAGATCTAGACCTGGAAAATCCATTGATAAGTGTGTATTTGGGTGTGTGTGTGTGTGTGTGTGTGTGTGTGTGTGTGTGTGTGTGTGTGTGTGTATCCATCTCCATGTTTCTTCAGGTAGTCCTCAGGTAATGTTGGCAATCGAGACAGAAAGTTTCATGTTAAGTGATGCACAATGAGTAGCCCAATCACATACATGATCACATTATTATTGTTATCATTATCATTATCTCTACATGGGGCTCTCTTTGAGGAGCACCCGGAGGCTTCAACTGGTCCAGAATGCGGCCGCGCGGACGGTGTTGGGAGGGACTCGTCGCTCCCATGTAACACCGCTGTTGCGCGAGCTGCACTGGTTGCCAGTGGCCTTCCGGGTGCGCTTTAAGGTGTTAGTTACCACCTTTAAAGCGCTCCATGGCATAGGACCTGGTTATCTCCGAGACCGCCTTCTGCCACAGATTCCCTCCCATAGACCGGTACGCTCCCACAGAGTGGGTCTCCTCAGGGTGCCGTTGGCCAAGCAGTGTCGGCTGGCGACCCCCAGGGGGAGGGCCTTCTCTGTGGGTGCCCCCACCCTCTGGAACGATCTACCCCCCGAGATCCGGATGATTCCGGATCTCCTTACTTTCCGCCGCGCCCTCAAGACATGGCTTTTCCAACAAGCAGGCCTGGCCTAGGGAGGATTTTAAATCGGGTTCATTTTTTCTTTAGAAAATTTTAAACATCACAACTCTAAAATATTTGGTTTTAATTTGGTTTTATTGGGTGGGGATTATAAATATGTTTTTGTTTTTAAATATGTTGTGAGCCGCCCTGAGTCCCGTCGGGAGAAGGGCGGGATATAAATCAAAATAAATAAATAAATAAATAAAAGCATCATCATCATCATCATCATCATCATCATCATCATCATCTCAATTTTTTTGCCACTCAACTTGCTGCCAGTGATTACATCCCTTAGCAATGGCAATCCAAGCAGTCCCTGTTACTGTTGTTAGTAGGTCATTAAGCAAAGATCTCACCTGACAGCTATTTGGGAAGAAGCGCTGAAAGCGCATCTCAGACAAGCGGGCTGGCAGGGAAGAGCTGCTAGAGTGGGTGCTATAGAGTATGCATTGGCAGGCAGATGCTGTTAGCAGGGCACTAAAGTGTGCAGTTGGGCACTATGTAGCATGGCTGGGCATGTGCCCTGGGCAAGCATTTACATAGTGCAGACAGGTGCTACAGAATGCAGGTGATACTGTGGGCAGGCACTATGGAATACAGGATCCCATGTTACCCAATGGCTCCTCTAGAGAAAAAGCAGTAGAAGCCAGAATAATTTTGTTATCTCCTGCTGACTTCCCACTGGCTTTGCCTGTGGGATGAGGACAGGGAAAGTCACACTCACATGACCACAGGATACTGCAATCATTGTTAAGTGTGAGCCAATTGCTGAGTACCCAAATCACAATCAAGTGACTGGAGGGATGCTGTGATGGTCGCAACATCAAGGGCCAGTTTTAAGTCCCCCTTGTTCAGTGCCATTGTAACTCTGAACAGTCACTAACTGAGTGATTGTATCTCAAGGATTATCTCTATATACATGTGTGTTTTACTTTAAATTAGCAGTGGCAACTTTTGATACAAATTTGGAGAAAGTAAAATCAATTATGCAAAGCTGGTGAGGCTGTGCCATGCATTTCAGTAGGAGCTGGTTTCAGAGGGATAATTTTATGAAATGACCATCTCTAGAAACATTTTAAGGTTTCAGTTCATTTTTTGTTCGTGTCCAAATTCAAAATAATAGAAAACAGTACCACTAATTTATGGCAAGTTCAGAAGAGTGTGACAGTTTATTGCCTAAGTGTACTGCAAGCAAGCAAGGATTTATTTGTTCATTCCTACAAACTGCGCAACTGGGATTTTGTTCATATTATAGAGAGAAAAGACCAACACCCACATGAACAGATGATGTA